ATAAACTTTTTGAGTTTTACAGATAGCTCTCGACACTTTTCAGGCAACTTTTGAAGCAGCTTTCTGTCAATTTGTCCGCTTTCCAAACTTTGCAGACGTTTTCCCCCGACTTTTCAAAAGTATCTACAAACTTTGCAGACAGCTTTCACAACTTTCCTGGTATTATTCCTTCCTTCCAAAGATTTTCCGAACGTTTCAGAAAGTTTTCATTACTGGTCAAACTACCTGTCTGCCTTCCAAAGCATTCTACAAACTCTGTAGGCAGCTTCCAAAACAGTTTTCTGGCCTTTTCGGATGGTGTTTATGACTTTTCATAACCTTTTATGTCTTCCAAATTAACTTTATGAATTTGGAAACTACTTTTCAGACCTTCCAGGCAACTTTGCTGCCTTTCAAAGCAACATTTCATAACTTTTGAAACAACTGGTCATACTTCAGAGGCAACTCTCCAAACTTTCAGGCAACTTTTCCCCTCTCTAAAACAATGTATAAACTTTTCAGACAGCTTCATGACTTTTCCAATTTTTGCAGATAATTTTCATATTTCATCAAACATTTCCGCCTTCCAAAATAATCTTTCATGACATTCCAGAGAATGGTTCCCGCCTTCGAAAGCGATTTTCCGAAATTTGCAGACAGGTTTCATGATTTTTCAAACAACGTTTCTGTCTACCAAATTAACTTTTTGAACTTTGCAGACTGCATTTCAGATCGCAGATCGGTTTCATAAATTTATGGCAACTTTCCCGCCTTCCAGAGCAATTTTCTGAGCATTGCAATTGATTTTCAAAACATCCAGGCTAATTTTTTTCATCTTCGAAAGTGACACACCAAATTTCAGGCATTCCGACCAATATAAGCAACGTTTACAACTTTGAAGGTGGCCGTCTTGACTTTCCAGGCATTCAAAGTGAATCTCTCAACATTGCAGCTATGTTTCAGACTGTTTTTGTTACTTTTCAGGCAACTTTCCCACCTCCCTCTTGACTCTACTAAAAACACAGACCACTTTTTACTCTCCAGGCAACTTTTCTAACTTGCATAGCAACACTCCAAACTGGCAAATGGCT